CCTGCCCGTCAAGAAGCCCGTTCAGAAGCTCAGCCTCGCTCACATCAAGGTGGGAAAGGAAGGCGGTGCGCGGTGTGTTGTGAATGAGTGTGCGAGGGGGTGTGTGCGGGTACAGCGGTGCAGAAACTGAGCCTGGCGCACATCAAGGTGCGCATGTGCGTGTGTGGGAAGAGGGGTCTTTGTGGAGACAATCAGGAATGGCATGTGTGGATACATCATACAAGGGAAGGAGGGAGAATGTTGAAGCTAGAGCTAGACGCATTGCTCATGCTGCCCTGCCGTTATGAGGCAGTCGCAAAACACCTGTGTCCCAAACGTCCCATCTCTCCCGTGTGCAGCATGCCATGCATGGGGTGAGCAGGAGGAGGTGGTGCGGTGCCAGCAGGCAGTGGAGGAGCTGAGGGGCATGATGGTAGATATGCAGAGCGACATGCGTGTTCCGTGTCCCATGTGTCCCGTGTGTCTCCTCTCCCCCATGAGGCAGTGCTGACCGTCCCTGTCCCGTGTGTCCCCTCTCTCCCGTGTCCTGTGCGAGGGTGTGTGCGAGCAGGAGGAGGTGGTGCGTGGCCACGAGACAGCGGAGGAGCTGAGGGGCATGATAGCGGACCTGCAGAGCGACATGCGCTCCATGATGGCCCTGCTCGACCGCGCCCTCCCCTCCTTGCGCGCTCAGCCTCAGCTCCCCACTCCCCCCTCGGGATCACCCCCGCCGGGGCAGCGGCCGCTGATGCAGCCGTGCTTGCAAGTGTCACAAGTGGAAGAGGAGGGTGAGGGGCTGGGAGCGGTGGAGGCAAGTGAGATGGGTGTGGGGGAAAGAGCCGTGGTGGATGAGGGTGTCAGAAGCGGTTCTGGCCGGTTGAGTGGGAGAGTGGGCAGCAGCCGATCCCCATCGTCGAGACAAGTGTTGGGGAGACGGGTAGTGTTCCAAGACGAGGCAGTGGACGTCGGTGAGGGTGGTGCGAACACGGAGGATTCATGGCAACAGCCGTTGATAGTAAACCAAAGAGACGTTAAAGGTTACCGAGACCCTGAGAACAACTGAATTGCTTGACTGATTCTCTGTTGTAATCTTGGACGGTGTGCACCGCACATCTCAGCATTGCACATGGTCTGGCTGGAACCTCAGGAGGACCGACCGATGTACCTGCACCCAAGCCTAACAACAGGGCGCCTCCAGAGGCGGGATGGTGATCCCATGCGGCTGGACCATCGTGCCGCCGTATCACCAGTTGTGCTAACCGGGATGGTGGACAACAAGTGAATAAAACCCTCTGGATTGTTCATCAAAGCGGGTTGGCAGAAGGTGCCAGAAGGTTTTATTCTCAGAGCACCTGCACGTCCATTCCATTTGCAACTAATAAGTTGTTAGAATCAAGTCATTATGGAGGTCCTTGAAGTGAGGCACGCGAAACAGCTTCAACCAAATACGAAGTCCTGTCACTTCATCATATATGTCGCATATGTACGTGCCAAAACTAGATTCGCACTCTCATGGCCAAAACTACAGTCTGGTTTTACTGTACAGAAACTAAGTAGATTTTGGACTTTGCAGGCACCGCCGAATGGTGGGTCACATCGCATCCCAACCATCAGGCATGCTTGAAGTGTATACCGCATCCAACCAGATAAAAACACGTCCTTATCGCCCTGAACCACGTTTCTCATTTCCTTTATTGTGCCGCACCGTCGTCCCCTTCCTCACACTTCCTCAACAAGATCAGAGAGACAACACAAAACAGGATCAACAGTTGGGAATGCGTGGAGCAGAAGCTCTTCCACATTCTCTCTCCAGGTCTTGTGCTCCTTAGACCAGCTGCACAGCTGCTGATGTTGTCTCTGACCAGCGTCACCCCCGAGCGTCACCCCAGGCAAAACGGAGCGTCACCCTCGATTCAGTTGAGAGATACAGCAGGAAAGTACTTCACGCATGTTTTGTTGCCCTTAGACATGCTCGTTATTAGGAACTAGTAGCGGCAATGGCGGAGGCGGTTGCGGTGCTGCGCGCGAAGAAGCAGGCGGAGGAGGAGGAGGAGGGTGGCAAGGCGTCGTTTTCGCGGTCGAAGAGTTTGCTGGACGATAATTTCGAGGCGTACGAGGCGGCGAACTACCGCATGTGGGTTCGGTCCAAGTCCAATACTCCATCCTGGTGAGCCGACCGCCATGCTCCGGGCTTGCTTGCTCCTTATCGTCAATGCTTGCTTCCGAAAGGGGTTTCTGTCTGCTGTTTGGTTTCTGCTGTTTGCTAATCCAGATTCTTTTACGCTCCGCCCATGCCCAACTCCCCCATTTTCGTCCTCGCTTCGAAGTCGTAAGCCTTCGGGGTCTCGCAGCGTCAAGACGCACAACTTAGATTTCCTCGATATCGACGGCAGGTTCACGCCGCAAAATCCGGAGCCCTTGTCACGTCTTGCGTCAAGCAATTCGCTCAATCCGTCCATCCCCGTCGACCAAGACGAGGAGGGGAAAGGATATTGCGGGGATGAGGCTTGCGTGGAGATCCGCGCGGAGGGCGGAGCGGAGAGGTTGGCGGAGGAAGGGAGAGCTGGCGGAGAGTTCGCGGGGAGTGAGGGAGCGCGGGACAGCAGCGGCAACAGCAGCGGCAGCAGTCACGAGAGCGCGGCGGATGACGAAAGGGGCAGGCACGCAAGCAACACGAGCGCCGACTGCGGGAGTGGAACGGATGGCGCGGAGGGCGGGGAGGGCGGAGAGGGGAAGGTGACCGCGGCGGGGGGTTCGCTGAAGCGCAGCTTGACGGAGGATGCGACGGTGGAGACCATGACGCGGAGCATGGACGCGGCAGGGTCGTTGAAGGGCCTCACAGGGGGGGCGAGCTTGTCGCGGTCGGCGAGAGACGTTCTGCAGGACGCGGAGATGGACGAGATGGATGGAGAGGTGCTGCAAGGTGCGGCCTGGTTCAGAGCGGTGCTTCACTGCTGGGGCTGCGGGTTTGACACGCGCCCCCGCGTCCACGCCTCTTCTCGCGTTTCTCTGCCGCACCGCCTCGCGCTCCGCGCCATGCGCGCCGTTCGCCGTTGCCTCGCCGCTGCTCTCAGTCACCTCAATTCCTCAAGACCCCCTTTCCCACTACCACCGCCCCACCCCACCCTCTCCCCCTCTTTCCCCACCTCCCCCCCTCCCCCCCCCCCCCCCTCTCCCGGTTGCGCGCGTGGCAGAGGCGTTCGTGCGCGTGGTGGCGCTGCAGCAGCGCGTGCAGCACTACCGCGACCTGGGCGGGTTCGTGGTGCTCATGGCGCTCTTCATCACCATCCTCTACCTCCAGGCCGACTCCTCCCGCAGCTACGAAATCACCGCCGCGCATGCCGTGCTCTTCCCCCCCGTACGCTTCTCACCAACTTCCGCTCCTCCCCTCATCCATGCTCTGTCCCATATGCTTCCCGCAACCCCCACCCCCCCAAGCCCCCTCCGCGGTTTAACCGCCGGAACAATCCCCACTTCTCCACCGCGCATGAATTCTTGTGTGCATCACCGCCGTGCCATTGCCTACCACCTTCGCCGCCTCTCCACTCACTCGCCCCTTCCTCACCATTCGCCCGGCTTGTGTCCCTCCTCGCCCCAAGAGCAGGGCATGCGTCAGGACGCCTCCAACACATTCAACGGACCAGATGACTTCTACAGTTGGCTCAACACCAGCATCGTGCAGGTGCGTTGCGCTCTCTCTCTCCCCTCCCCTTCATCTCTGCGTTATTGCTCCTCATGCGCTTGTTGGTTGTCTCCACTTTTTCTGTTCACCCAAGCCTGGTCCGCCCAACTATGGGGGCACCACAGCTCTCTCTTGCCCACATCAACGCCCGCAGGCTTGTCGGATTGTCCGCTCCTCACTGTCGCTCCCCTCCTCCCTGTCGCTCCCCTCCTCCCTGTCGCTCCCCTCCTCACTGTCGCTCCCCTCCTCACTGCCGCTCCCCTCCCCCCGACCATCCCGGCAGAGTCTTTGGACAGACCCCTCGTGTGGCACAGGCGAGTGCGAGCGCCCCTTCCAATTCCCCGCGTTCGGTCGCTTTGGCTGTGAGGCGGACTGTGGCAAGTTCCCCAACCTTACCTCCATTTTCATCCGCCTCTCCTCTCAGCTCGACACACAGCAGGCTGCTGATGAATCTTCCTGGAACCTCTGCATGGTCAACCCGGTCTCCCTCTGCTGGTATGCTCGCCCTCTCATCACACACCAGCCCTTGCTGGGATGGTATGCATGTTCCCTCACCCCGTGTTTCTCTGCTCTTTAGTGTCTCGTCCTGTGTACTCTCTTCCCAGGCCATTTCATCCCATGCCATTTCATCCCAAGCCATTTCATCCCATGCCATTTCATCCCATCCTCCATCCTATCCCATCCCATCTCACCGCATGCCACCCCATGCATGGGGTGCAGGTACGAAACATTCCAGCCGTTTCCTCTCGGCACGGCAGACGTGACAATAGATGTGGACATTCCGGACGGCGACTGGGTGGTGGTGCTCAACGCGCCCGCGGGGGGCATCCGCGGCACCGTGCACGCGCCCCCTCCCGGCACGCGCCGCTTCTCCGTCGTTGGCGCCGCCTCCTCCATTGAGCTCGCCGCCTGGGGCTACTGTGAGCATGATGATGACGTGGACGCAGCCAATCAGACGCAGCCAGGTGGCGGCGTCAGTGGTTCTCCGCCTGACGTCTGCCGTGATGTGAGTATGCTGTTGTGCCGCGTGCCTGCCTCTGCTGTGGAATGCACTCAGCTTCCTTCTGGTGTCATTCCGAACTGAGTGTGTGTGTGTGTGTGCTTCGAATATTACATGATGCCAACTCTTTGGTCATGCATGCATGTGTGCGTGCGGGTGTGCATGTGTGTGCTGGTGCATGTGTGCACTTGTGTGTGCGTGTGTACGCTCGTGCGTGCGTGCGTGCATGTGTGTGCTGGTGCGTGCGTGCGTGCGTGCGTGCATGTGTGCGTGCAGACATGTGCAAGGCTGGCGCTCTGCCTGCCTGCAACCTGTGGGCGAGCATTCACGGAGAGGGAGGTGGCAGGGGCGTTCGTGGACTGTGCGCGCATGTGCATCATTGCACCCTCCTCCATCACCACCTATGCCAACTCTTCCTGTCCCATGGTGCGCTTCCTGCCCCATGGTATGCTTCTTGCCCCATGCTGCGTCCTCTGCACCATGCCGTGCCCTATGAGCCATATTTGTATAGAGCAACCTGCCGTGCTGCATACAGCCACCTGCTCTGCCGCACCGGGCTACGTCACCCCTGCCCCCATGGCCTTTCTCCTTGCTGCCCTCCTTTCTCTTCATCTGCTCACTTCAGCCCTGTTCCTCTCTCCTGCCACACAACTCCCCCTCCGACGCCCCTCCAACGCCCCTCCCCTCCGCATATTCTCTCCAGCCAGGGATCGCATCGTTGTTTGTCAACACGCCATGCAACGTCTCAGGTATGCACTAGCTGCATGTGGCAGCCAGCATACAACCCCCCCCCCTCCTGTGCCTCCTTCCACTGTTGCCACACACCGGCCTCCTCACATGTGCTCTATGCCTCACATGTGCTCTATGCCTCACATGTGCTCTATGCCTCACATCACATGTGCTCCATTCCTCTCCCTGCTCTTCTCATCCCACGCTGCGACTCCGCTCGGTGCACCCCCCTCTGTCTCCGTCCCATCCCAGGCTCAGAAGCAACAGCTCATTTATGGCACAGCAGCCGCCGCAAGGTGAGTGTCTTCCCACTTCTTGCCACCCCCTACGTGTGTTTCCCTTGTTGTCCCTCTCTCTGTGTGTTCTTTCCTCTTTGCAAATGCGGATCCCGACTGCTCGCCGTTACTCTCCCCTCCTCGCTTCTGTGCTTGCACCTCCAGTTGCACCTCCAGTTACCTCTCTTTCCTCTCCCCCACTCCCCCAATCCGTGGTGCATGGCTGGTTGCTCTCAGGCGCTCCACCGCTTCCGCCACTTTCACAGCTATGGCCGTGGGCCTGCCTCTTCTGCCTCTGCCCCCACCAAGGCCTTCTCCTCCCTGCCCACTGGAGTGGCAGTTCGCTCTCTTGCTGGCCCTGCTGTCCACTCTCCTGCTGCCTCTGCCTCTGCTGCTGCCACACCACTCGAAGCAGCACAGCCGCATGAACCACAGATATCGGAGTTGGCACCAGCATCAGCATCACCATCATCGTCAGCACAAGCAGCAGCAACAGCAGCAGTGGCAACATTTGGAACAGCAGCCGCGGCAGATCCCTCAGAGCCGTCCCTCTGGTTCCTCCTGGGCGCCACGGACCGCCAGCGACTGACAGTGCTGCAGGTGGCGGTGTCGCGAGCCCTCTTCACCATGGCCAAGGACAGGTGCCTGGCCGGCCACGGGCCGGGCTCCAAGCGATCCCACACGCTGGGAGGGCCGGGCAGCGTGCGCTGGCATGTGGTGGCCACCCTGTGCACCATTCTGGGGGGGCCTGTGACGACCATGGATGAGTGCCGCATGTATGGTGCGGACGGGAAGCAGGTGATGACGCTGGCAGACATGTTTGCTTACCTCAAGTTCCGCCATACCGGGCATGTGATCTCGGCGCAGCACATGGTGCGGTGGGTGCAGACGGTGGCAGCGGCTGTGAGCTCGGTCACGCCCGTGCCGGATGTGGCAGCGGCGCGCCTCAACACGCTCTTGCGCTCCTTTAATGATGCTGTCGTCTCCTCCGATGCTGTCGGCTGCTCTCAAGGTGTGCACGGCCGGGGGGTAGTGGTGCGGGGTGCGTGTGCATGTGCGTCTGCATCTGCATGTGTACATGTATGTGTAAGTGTAGGTGTGTGCAATGTGCATATATGTGTAGATGTATGTCCGAGTGTTGCTGTCACCATGGCACCTCAGAAGGATCACATTTGACTGCTGGCGTTTCCTCCTCTCCTTGCTGTCTCCTGTCAGGCGGAGCGTGGCTGCAGTGGCGCGCGGGAGTGACGCACAACACGACCATCCATGTGGGCGACAAGGTCACCTGGGTGTGGGATGACGACCTCCCACACTCCCTCAAAGGTACTCCCTTCGTTCCTTGCAACTTTACCACCTTCGTTGGTGCACCAATGCTTCTATGTTCTCTGAAAAAACTGAGTGCCTTTGCGATGCCTTGGCATAATCTTCCTATCTATTTTGCTCCCACTCTACTCCGTGATACCTCTTTTTCCTTGTTTGCCTGCACTCCTTGTTCCGCAATGCTCTCTTGCTCCACTGCCACCACCAACAGTGGCGGGGATGGGGGAGGTGGACGACCCGCTGTTTCTGGGCTTCGGAGGGCACCGATTGGCCGTGTCGCGCCAGCTGGCATGCACTCCCCTGAACGTGGGCAATGGGGACGCCTTTGATGAGCCCTTGCCATGCGTGCTCAGTGAGTGGGTGGGGGGGGGGGGGGATGCACTCGCTCTCTTCTTGTAGAACCAGCAAGCGAGGGATGAACTAAGCATTTTCTTATATTGTGCGTTCAGACTGCCGGGTTGACCAGTCCTGGAGCGTCCAATCCCATTGTAGCTGTCTCCTACATGCACACATGTTGTCCTGTCTCGTCCACCATCTCACTCTGCTGCTGCATCCTCACACCCCATTCCTCCTCCCACTGGCCTCCACTCTCGCCTGGGTCCTCCCTCTCTCCTCCCTCCCTCCTCCCTCCCTCCAACAGAGATAGACGATGGGTCCGGTGTCTCCTTTGCGTACAGCAAGGTGTTTGAGGAGCCAATCACCATTCACTATGAGGACGGCACTCTCTCCCTCGACGACTCCTCTTCCTCCTCCTCCTCGCCTTCTACCTCGTCTGCGTCTCTTCTCACTGTGCTGCCTGCACGAGCAGGAGCTGAGGTTGCTGGTGAGCCCTGCATGCCATACCACATACTATGCGCTGCATGTCATACCGCTTGCCATGTCATACCGCTTGCCATGCCAAACCGCTTGCCATGTCATGCCCCATGCGATTCCATACCGCATACCATGCTGCGTGCCATGCTTCATGCGATATTGCATGCCTCTCTGCATTCATGACTTCCTTCTGTGCTTGCATTCCTGCCCGTTGAATAACCTTTTCCACCCTCACCATTCCCACTTCCTGGGCGCCTACTGCATCCATTTCTCTTCCTCGTCCCTCCTGTGCATGCATGGCAGGTGTTGCGAATGCCACTGACACCAGCACACTCTCTAGCACTGCACGCGTCACCTCCACCAACACCACCACACCCTCCGCCTCCTCCTCCTCAGCAGCCTACGAGTGCTCGCCGGGGTGCCGACTGCAGCGGCTGGCGAACGGGGTGTGCGATGCGGCGTGCAACACGCCCGCGTGCGCCTTTGACGGTGGCGACTGCGCGTGTGTCGACCCGCTCTTCGGCCCCGGCATCTGCGCCTGCCCGCCCGGCCACACCCGCCGCGACGACGGCTGTCAGTCATCCCTCTTCTCCCCTCCACCCGCCCCTCTTGCTGCCTGCCTTGCTCCACCATTTCTGTCTCCCCTCACGTCCTCGCTTCACTCCTACTCGCTTTCTGACTTGCACTTTCTTCAAGTGCCTCCTTGACCTCCCGTCGCTGCTTCTCTCTCATCCTCACACCTTCCCCTTCCTCCCCTCCTCGTCCTCCCTCCCCCATTCCCCAGCCTGTTGTCTGTCCACGGCGGTGGGAAGGGATCTCAACTTCCCCTTCTCACTGCAGCGCTACGGCCCCAACTACACCGAGAGCAACTTAGCCTTTGCGGCTGAGAGGAGCATTGCTGCCACACGCTACGTGTCACGCCGCAATCGGTACGATATGAGCTCCGTGCCTCCCAGCCTTCACTGCCTGCCCTGTTGGGCGCCACGCGTGCGCAGTGTCCTACACTTCCATGACCCGCGCATCACAGCATCTATCCAGCTGCCAACACCTCTCCTCCACCTCACATTGCCACCAGAAGGGCGGGTGCTACGCCAAGCAGTACCGTCTTGTATTGTGAACCTCCGTTAGGCCATCGCACCCTCCGCTCTGCTCACCACCACAGTCAGATTCTCACTCTTTTCTGCGGAACCCCCCCTCCCTCCCGTCTTCATCATCATGGCAGTCTGCTGGTCGGCATGGTGCTGCAACAGGAGCGGCTGGGCACGCAGCAGTGCAGCAGACCGGGGTGAGTGCCTCTCGCGAATGTGGGGCTCACATCACATGACTGGGGTGAGCAAGGGTTTGAACTAAACCAAGCCACCTGCCGCTCGTCGTATCGGATCAGCTTCCACGAGCCACGGACTGAGAATTCTCAAACAATCCCTGCACCACCGAGCCAATGCGCATCCATGGTCGCGCATCCATGGTCGCGCATCCATGGTCGCGCATCCATGGTCGCGCATCCATGATGAGCCGCCAGTCGAGCCAGGTCAATGAGCCAGGCCGTCGTCTTTTGACTGTTGCTCATCCTACTCTTCCGTGCGAGGGTTTCACGATGCTCGCCTCATCCCGTCTTACGCGTGATGTTGCCACCAATTGACCTTCTCTCAGCGTTGCCTGCACTTAGCTCCCTTCCTTCCTCACACTCTTCCCTCCCCCAAAACCCCAATCCCATGCGCTCCCTCCCGCCCCTCCCTCCCCAGGCTGCTGCACCTGGCGGGGTGGTGCAGCAACGGCACGTCCACGGAGCCGTTTGGAGTGAACCCGCACTTCCTGCCCACGTCGGCCATCTACGACAGCGCTGCCAGCGCCAACATCACCCAGCTCGACAACAACACCTTCGGCTTCAAACTCAAGTTCAACCCGCAGGGCCTCCCCTACGGCTTCATCTATCCCACGGTCAGTCATGCTATGGCCCCTCTTTTTCCGCCACCGTCAGTCAATGCCCAACACTCTCGCTGCTTAGAGTCCTCCAGTGCAGTGCTTGAGTGGATGATCTCAGGCCCCACATGAAGAACACGACTCTTCTGTTGCCCAAATGCTGTGCGCCATGTCTTGCTGTCCTGCTGCCTTGCTGCCTTGCTGACTTGCTGGCTTGCCCTTGCCCTAATCTCTCATTACCCTTGCCCCACGTCCTTTACCCTTTTTTTAGCAGGAGTCGCTGACCTCCTACCCTTTGGTGTTTGACATTAATCTTGATAACGAAGCGGCCACAAGGCGTCTACAGTACCTGGTGGATGGCAGCTACATTGACAATGGCACGCGCAGCATTGACGTCAGCTTCATCACCTTCAACGGTAGGTACTTGCCTTGTGGGACAACTGTTAGTCCTTTGAGCACATGTCTCCGCTCAACATATGCGCTCGTGTTTCGTGCCATTCAATGTCCCTCACTGCACCCGGCGTGCATCTGCCCCTCACTGCCCGCCCCTCACTGCTTTCCTCCTTGACGCTCCGCGCTGGCAGGCGAGACGCTCACGTTCGTGCTGACCACAGTGACCTGCACGCTAGACGCGGGCGGCAGCATGGCAGTGAGCTTCAAGTCGCAGCCGGCAGCCATGGCGATGTACGATGCATCGGCGGGCAACATCGCACGGCTGGTGCTGGAGATGGTGTATCTGGTGGGGCTGCTCTGGAATGTGTGTGGCGAGCTGCAGGAGATGGCCGACCGCGCCGCCACGGATGGATCTGTACTCAGCTACTTTGGCTGTTTCTGGAATTGGATCGATATGCTCTCCATCGCGCTGCAAGTGACTGCGGTTGTTATCTGGTAAAAAACCAGCCAAGCTGTGTCGGTTGTAGCCTTTGCCATGCAATGCATCCGGTGCTCATCGTCTCTCATTGTCTCATTTTGCAACGCTTATGCCTCCGTCTTCTCTGCTCATCCGCCCACCCCACGCGCCCGCATTCATCACTGTCCTCCACATATGCGTGTCTGAATGGGTGTGTTGTGATCAGGGTGGTGCTGTGGCGGTACGTGGAAGCATTTGACATGCAGCCACGCTACGACATCTACTACACGCTGCTCGAGATGCCGCGCTACTGGGCTGTGCCCAACCCGCCCACGGGCTTCATCAGCGCCACTCAGGCCTTCGCTGATCTGCGCAACATCATCAACCTCCGCGCCGTCTACTTCGCCCTCCAAGGCATCAAGTGAGTGAGCCGCTTGCCTTGCTAGTAGGGCATCAAGTGAGCCGCAACCAAACTGGGGCGAACGAAATCTGAGCACAGGCTGGTCCGAAGTTGAAGTATTTCCTGTCCCCCTTCCCCCCCCTTCACACAAGCTTGGTTTTGTTTACATTCACCATCGTTCCCGTCCCCCTTCCTCCCCACCCCCCAACCCCCCCAGTGTCTTTTTTATGATGATTCGTCTACTCAAGGTGATGGACTTCCAGCCTTACCTCGGGGTCATCACGCGCTCGCTCGCCCTCGCCACGCCCTCGCTGCTGCACTTCTTCCTGCTCTCCTTTACCGTCTTCTTCTGCTTCAGCATGTACGGCTACCTCGTCTTCGGAGGCACACTCGAGCTGGTATGTGTGCAGGTCATGTGCTTATCCAGTGCAGGCTATGTCCAGTTACCATCACCTTGCTCTTTTCAGAAAACAGAACGACAACAAAATTACAAAAATCACCTGGCTCATGCACTCGTCCAGTCCACATTACCATTTTTTTTTTGTCACGTGGACCATGTCCATCCTTAGTTATTTTTCTCAGGTCCACCATGACCCCGCTTGTGGCTTCTTCTTGTCCATCATGACCCCGCGTGTGGCTTCTTCTTGTCCACCAACTTCGTTTGGCTTCTCCTTTCATTGCCCCACAAACACCCCCTTCCTGCCTCCGCTCTGCAACCAACCCTGTGCAGTTCTCCACGGTATCTGAGTCCATGTTCTCCCTCTTCTTGCTATGAGTTTACTTTTAAGAATCCTCCAAAGCAAACCTCCACAACACTCCCTCTCCCGCCTATCCGTTTCCACCCTGTGCAGTTCTCCACAGTATCGGAGTCTATGTTCTCGTTGTTCCTGCTTCTCATCAACGACAATGGGTCGGCCTACTTCTTGCAGCGCCTCGAGTCATGGAACCTCATAGCCGCGATGCTCTTCTTTCTCATGTTCATCGTGTTCATGGTCTTCATCCTCCTCAACTTCCTCATCGCCATCATTGTTGATGCCTTCATGGATGTCAAGGACAGCGACACCGTCGCCACCTCTATAGCCGCTGACCTTGCTCACATCATCAAGTACAAGTGGAACTGCTGGCGCGGCCGCTACCTGCCGTACTGTGTCATTTTCGACCGCCTTGTGGACTTAGGTGCCAAGGACACTAGAGTAAAAGACGTGAGTGCGAAGTAAGATGCTTAATGGAAGGTTCTGTAGGTGTTGGATGGGGTGAGTGGAGTGAAGGTATTTGGTTGTTTTCCTAGTGGGTGTGGAGCTGCTGTATTTGAACGAACCATTACCATTACCATTACCATTACCGTTATCATTACCATTACCACTACCACTACTATTATCATTATCATTACCACTGTTATTAGCATTACCATTACCATTATCATTACTATTACCATTACCAGTACCAATACCATTACCAGTACTGTTATCATTACTACTATCATTATCATTACCACCACCATTACCAATACCAATACCAATACCAATATCAATACCATTACCATTATCATTTTCACTATCATTATCATTACCACTACCGTTATCATTACCATTACCATTACTGTTACCATTACCGTTACCATTACCATTACCGTTTCCATTACCGTTACCATTATCGTTACCATTAACATTATCATTATCATTACCATTACCAATACCTTCAAACCAACACCAAACCATTACCATTGTCATTACTACTACCATTACCATTACCATTATCATTACCATTATTACTACCATTACCATTACCATTACCACTACCATTATCATTATCATTACCATGATCACTACCATTAGCATTACCATTATCATTACCATTATCATTAGCATTACCACTATGATTACCATTACCATTATCATGATCATTACCATTAACACAACCATTACCATTACCATTGCCACTGCCATTATTGCCATTATTATTCCCACAAAAGGTTAAGGTGGCGCTTTGGTCATTCTGTCACCGTTGCCACCGTCCCCTAACAGCCATTTTCCAATCACGAAATTCCACGCACGCACTTTGTTTTCAGGAGAACCCTCGGATACGCCGCTTCAAGGACATCCAACGGCGGGTAGCCTTTATGCTCTCGGGCAAGCGAGGCAGCGGCGACAAGCCGACGCCTTTTGCCCGGTCAGGCAACCACCCCGCCTTCCCGTCCGCCGTCAGCGACTCTCGGGTGCGGCGGCAGCACGTGCTGACAGTGAGGGAGAAGCGCATCGACGCCATCTCGCTCGCCATGATCCTGCAGCGTCGCCAGGACAGGGCGGTGAGTCATTGCTGCCATGCTCGTTCCCATGCATTTCCATGGTTGTGTGGGATGCTTTCTTGTCATGCTTGTGTCGGCTGATGCGGGTAGTGCCACGACAAGTGCTCATTTTCCCTGAATTGGTCGATATCTACGACACGCCAATGTTTCTCCCTGCATCCCTCGGCCTTTCTTCTTAGCCTGACTCTTAGTATATTCAGCCTTCCCATCCACCATTCTCTCTCTGCTTTCATTCCCACCCTCCACCTTCTCCTCCCGTCAACCTTTCCTTGCTGTTCTCCAGGCCAAGAAAGCCCGCCAATCTGCTGCTGCCATGTCATCAAGTACGCCTCGCTTCTCCCCGTCCCAGTGTGAGAGTGGCACGCAGTGGGGGGCTGCCCCCTGGACCGCAGACGAGGAGCAGCTGGAGCAGCTATCGCAGGCGGTGGTGCTGCAATGCGGCGAGGTGGTGAAGCAGTCCGTCCTGCCCGTCAAGAAGCGTGTGCAGAAGCTCAGCCTTGCCCACGTGCAGGAGAAGGTGGTCCAAGTGCAGGAGGATGTGATGCGCAGCCACGAGACAGCGGAGGAACTGAGGGGCATGATAGCGGACCTGCAGAGCGACATGCGCTCCATGATAGCCCTGCTCGACCGCGCCCTCCCCTCCTTGCGCGCTCAGGCTCCGCTCCCCACTCCCTCCTCGGGACCACCGCTGCCAGGGTCGCGGTGGCCGGTGCAGCCATGCCTGAAAGTGCCGCAAGGGGAAGAGGAGGGTGCGGGGCCGGGTGGGGAGGCGGGTGGGATGGGCGTGGGGAAAGGAGCAGCGGCTGATGCGGGTGTGCGAAGCGGTTCTGGCCGGTCGAATGTGAGAGTGGGCTGCTTCCCATCGCCATCGTTGAGACGAGCGTCGCGGCAGGTTGTGTTTCAAGATGAGGTGGAGGAGGGCGGTGAGGGTGGTGCAAGCGCGGAGGAGTCATGGCAACAGCTGTTGATCGAAAACGAAGACCAAGTTTCACCGAGAGGAACTGAAATTATTGACTGTTTCTCCAGTTACTCTATAAGGCCCACCCTCAACCTTCCTAGTTGAATTGGTGGGGATGCAGTGCTGATCCGAAGTGTGATGTACCTGCATCCATTACGTAAAGCAAAGGAGCGCTTGTGGAGGGAGGGTGGTGGTGGTCCCAAGCAGCGGGACCTTTGTTGCTGTGCCACCAGCAGGGCCGACCAACATGATGGATAGACAGTGAACCGTTTGACTTCTCGGGCATAAGATGATGTCAGTTGTCATAAACGAATGATGTGCATGTTACTGTGAGTTGGGGTACATATACCTAACCCTAACAACTGTACCCCACATGATATGCCTCACTACAGGCTACAACATTTGACACCAGTGTACGGTATGTTGCACATGGTTGCTCCTGAACCCTAAGACTGTTGTACCCTCACCACACTTACCTAATAATGGAGTACCGAGGCACGATGTTCATCCCGGGAACCTGGGCCATCGTGCCACCACCACCGTTTGTGCTAATGGATTATTGTTCCTGTCAGTGGAGACGGTTGCGGAAACAGAGTAGGGTAATTTCCGTAGATTGACAGTTCATTCAGAAAGATACACGACAGAGTATAATACCTACACCAATACAACAATAGTATGGGAGACTAAAAACATTTACACGCACCTGTGCCTGGTGGATCGAGATTTGACAAACCCCGCGCTGGCTGGCACCAGGCCCTACGATATCAGGAATTTTCCCCTGAAATTCCTGATTTCCAGGGTTTTTTTTTAACCTACACTGATTTTCCAGTGTTCAGCTTTTTGTGGGGCTGATTTTTCAGCCTTCACCTAGCACATGACTCTGAACTTTCAGCAATTTTTTTCTAGTGACACTGATTCCACTACGTTGTAACGAATCCGACCCTGAAAGCGATTCCTACACAGTTCGTGTGTAGTTGCCCGGCTGTACAGGGAATATCAGATTCCAACGGTGTCAGCAGGGCGTGGCGGTGAGTAGCAGACAAATTTGCCTCGTAGAGGGATGCGTTGTTGGCGCGCGCGGTGCGATGATTGGCCACTTTGACAGCATTTCCTGATTTGGCCAATTATAGGGTTGCAGCACTGCGACGCTGGCAGGCAGCGCAACGAGGGATTCAGGTGAAGCACCTGTGGTCCTCTGGCCCGTTTTGTCTAAGTCGTGCTGGCAAGCACGGATGCATCCACGCCGCCCAGCCGTGCTACCAGCCATCCAGTCTCCCACCCCAGTCTGCTCCATGCTTTCCTTCCATCTAGCAAGGGTAAGGTTTCATCGCGTTGCTGCCTGGTGTACCAAGAGGCAGTCAGCCGTGTGTCCTCTCTTCCTGGCAAACCTCCATCGTTCAGCTAGCTAGGGAGTCCCGTTAGATGTTGCTTGTTCACAGCGCAAACAATGGCGGACCACCCGGACGTCATTGAACGACCTGATGACCCCGGCGATGAACGCGCTCGTCGTTCGCCAATTGATCTGTCCGCGGCCGTTACCGGGCTGGATCTGCTATTCTCCAACATAGCGGCAGTAGATAACCATGGAAAGGCGCCTGCAGTCGCGCCGACCGTTGATGTTCCATTTGAACCCATCGACGAGCCTCTGTGTCCCTCCCCTACTGCGCCCGTGTTGGAGCAAGACAGCTCAAACCCTTCAGGTGAAGAAATCGCGACGGTGCCAGTGGCTAAGAAGTCCGCCAGGTACACGCAGTCAACGCTGCCGTGGCCCAAGACGGGAGGTCCCGCTGGTGCAATACCGGCTTCGCCAGCCGACCAACTATTGACGCCCTCGACCGCAGGCACGCAGGCGTCGCCCTCAACACCTGGGCCTTCTAAACCGGCAGGGCCAGACACAACCTACGCGGAGGCTCTGTATAAGTACAAAAGCGAGTGGCTCGAGCGGTTTTCTTGGCTTATTCTGCTAGAAAAAACTGACGGTTTCCCCGCTTTCAAGTGCAGCATCTGTACGGTGCACGCAGGCTACGCTGGACCGTGTGGGAGAGGCAGAAAGGGCGCCACAGACGTTCAGACGCAGGCGTTCAAACGGCATGCGGCAACTACCAAGCACAAGGAGGCATTGAAACACCAGCAGAAGCTTCTCAACGACGCCGCTACGCAGCCACGGATCAACGGCGACAATCTCGCTCGCGACACGGAGAAGGAGCGGGTCGTCAAGCTCCTCGACTCCCTGCTCTTCGTGACCAAGCAAGATGCACCCATAGAGTTATGGGTGAATCTTGTGCGCTACCTCGCGCGACTCAAGGTGCCCGGGTTCCCAGCAAAAGGCTATGGAACCTATTATACTACGTGAGTGTTGAATTTATCTAACTGCAACCGTGTTTGTGAAAATCAACCGAATTATCTGACGTTGTGTTGTTTGACATGCGCTGCAGCTACGGCTTCGGACAGCTGACACAGTCGATGGCCACATGGTTGCACACAACGCAACTGCAGCACATCCTCAGCAGCCCATACATTGGCGTCACGTGCGACGAAAGCACGGATAGGTGTCGGGGAAAGCATATGATTGTTTTCGCGACATTCATCCGTGAAAATTGTCCCGTGACTGAGTTCCTTGCCCTGCTGATCGTGGAGAAGGGCGATGCAGCCTCTCTCCTCTCAGTGCTCTTGTCCCACCTGCAGGCCCTAGGCATTGAACTGGCGAGGATATCCGGCATAAGCACTGACGGGGCGAGTGTGATGATGGGGAAACACAACGGCCTTGTCGCTCGACTTCGCCTCCGCATCCCACATCTTGTTTCGAGCCACTGCATTGCCCACAGGTCAGTTTTCATCTTCTGTTTACTGCTTCCATACAGTCCCTGCTGCATCCCCTGCTAACCCCTCCTTGAGCCGGTTTTAATGCTGGTGTGCATGCAGGGAGGCCCTCGCAGCAAAGGACGCCGCTGAACAACTCCCCGAGTTCGGCATGGTGGCCTCCCTGCTCCGCCAAGTGGCAGAGCATTTGGGGCGTTCTGGCCCGTGGCATCAACGCTTCATTGGCCTGCAGGAGGTGTTCACGAAAACAAACCTGGAGCTACAAGGGATCCACGACGTCCGCTAGCTCTCCCGCGGTGACGCCATTCTGCGCGCGGTAGAGGTCTTCCCCGCGCTGATCGTGATGCTGTATGAGTGGGACAGCACCCTCTACGAGCTCGCCACGAGCTACAGGTTTCACTTTCTGCTATACTTCCTTGCAGACGTCCTCGAGCAGCTCAATGTGCTGAACAGGGCATTCCAGCAGCGTGAGGTGAGCTTGGTTACTATCGTTGCTGGATTGTGTGCCTTGTTTTGGCTTGTGAGTCACTGTTTGATATAATGCTTAAGCAGAATTTGCTTTGCATTGATTTGGCCTTCTCTCCATCCTCTGTTCGCCCTGTTGACCCCTAACAGCTGGACATTGCAAGTGTCCACGGGCAGATCCGCCGGTCGATTTCATTCCTAGAGTCCTGCTACGTCGACTGTGGTGACGACTTTGGAGGCGGGGTGAGCGCGCGCCTCTCCCCGTTCATCAAGAAGCACGGGCCTGAGGGGGGCAATCCCGAGGTGAAGGCGCAGGGAGTCGACTCGGACGGGCGGCCCACGACACACACCTTCGAGCTACACGAGAAGCCGAGCGAAGACTACTCGACCCTCGGCTCCCACAACGTCTGCGTCGATCTCTGCACCACCTTCGCCGAGACGCTCGTGCAAAACTCAACACACGGTTCCAGGACCTGGACTCCCTGGTGGGAGTGCGGCTGTTCATGCCTGACGAGTGGGAGCTGGGGAGAGCGGAGCCCCACAGGCAGTGTCTCGAGTGGCTCGAGTCTCTCGTGAGGCTGTTCAGGGCACAAGACACGGACTATATCATTCCAGGTATTCCTGCTCTCGCACTATTGCTGTCCGTCTTATTGTGTCATTACATTTCATCAACGTATGGTGTACGCACTTGCCAGCCTTTCAAAAACCCCCTCTCTCTCCCTTCCGCATTATGTGGCAGGGGTCGACAAGCGGCGTGCGATCAAGGAGTTGCGGGCCTTCTGCCCCATCCTCGCAGGTGCCCCGAAGAACGAGCGGAGCTTCCACGCAGGCCTAACAGCAATGCTGAAGACAAGCGACTGGGCGACTGGCTACCCCAATCTGGTGCGTCTCTGGGTGGCTGTCGTCGTGCTGCCGCTGAGCACAATGGAGTGTGAACGTGGCTTCTCACACCAAAACGTTATCAAATCATGGCAGTGGGGGAGCTTGAAGGACGCCCGCCTCGAAGACCTCGTCACCATGTCTCTACTCGAGTACGAGCCCAACTACGATGAGGTGGTGCAGATCTGGCGCAGCTACAAGAAGCGCCGCCCATTCGGCAATGTGGCGGCACCACCCAAAAGAGAGGGAGAGGGCAGGGATAGCACGGGAAAGGAGGCCCTAGAGGAGGAAGAGTGGGCACAACGACAGGCTAAGGGAAGAGAAGATGATGATGACAAGCAGGCCTCATCAGATGATGATTACTGAACTCACCCAGACCCAGAGTCATGCTGGATGCAATGCATAGCTAGCTAGCAAGCAAGATAGGCTTTGGTTTACAATAGATAGATTGAAGGCTGTTTGCGACCTTCATAGAGTTTTAAGTTAAAAAAAATCAGCTTCACTACTATCAGCCTTTTTCTATAGGTGACATGGATTCATCAGACCTTTTTTTTAAGTAACACTAAACTTTCAGGCTTTTTTCCTAGGCGACCCTGTCGATCAGGGTCTAGGGCCAGAGGGACCCTGATACCCTTACGTGCCTCAAAGTGAATCTAAGGGCCTGGCTGGCACCCCCAGTTTCTGATAAGCAACCGTCAATGTTTCTGCGTAACATGAGCGATTGTTAGAAATCCCTTAATTCCTGTGGCGAAGTGACAACAGCTTGCAAAACTCACAGCTCACATTATTCCGTTGGTGCAAATGATATGGGGCATGGTGTGTACCAATCACTGGACAGCTCGGGTGGGTGTCTTGACCAGTGTTCCGGCCCGGAAACGACTAAAGGCAACCAACGAGCACCCCAACATGGCCAGTAATATAAAACGCCACTCCATCGTGCC